ACTGCCTCCTGCCTCCTGCCTCCCCGTGAAGTGCATGGGAAGTCCATATGTACTACCTTGGCCTGCCTCCTGACTGCCTGAAGGGCGAGCCAGGCCGAGGAGGCTGCTCTTGCCAATGCCGAACTGTGCCAGGGGCTGGACCTGCAGCCTCTGCTGAGGCTGGCGTGGGAACAGGCTAAGAATAGCATGTTCCGAAACCCTGGTTCGGTGCTTGAGTTTCAGGGCCGGTCGTTCTGATGAACGACCGAAAATGGCCCTTCGTTTCAGGCTAAAAAGGCTATTGCCATTTTTAGTCTGAAACGACACAGGGTCTGTAGGCCCCTGTTTTCAGGCTTTCGGGCTGAACAGACATGGGGCCTGTAGGCCCTGGTTTTCAGGCTTTTAGCCTGAATTTCAGGCTTTCAGCCTGAGGGACGCAGGGCCTGGAAAATGGCCCTCGTGTGCAGGCGCAGCATGTAACAGCTGGTCAGCCCCCGACCAATCCAGGGGCTCCGGCCTTCGGTGTGACTACTCTGATTGGATCAGATTAGATATGCAGGAATGCTGTCCTGAGCAGCTTGCCCTTCTTTAGATGTTTTTCGTTGAATGGGTCACAAGCGTTGACAGTAGGAGTGACCCCGGGCGAGTTTCCACATGCCTGGATTCTGTGTTTCTGCCTATAACTCTTCTGTCTCGGTATTGTCTCTTATTCTACCTAGTTGATCCTCATGCAACAAACAGCAAGATGCCAGAAGGCCTATTTTCCAGCCCTCGTACAAGCTTTTAGCAAGTGCGGATGGGACCTCTTCAGGATGCCTATCGGCAATTAGTTCCTTTACTGGGTCAACAGCTCGTGAGGCTTTTGAGGGAGGTGAGGTGCCTATTGGGGAAAGTCCACTTGCAGTATCACTGGGTGTGCCTTTGCTCGAATATCCGTTTTTAGCTTTTTTAGTGTTTTTCACTCTATGCTGTGTACAGTTACTATTATTAATTTATTATTACTTTATACTGACATATAATGTATAAGAATATAATAATTAGTAATTACTAAAGTAAAAATAAGTTTAAATAACTGCATTGAGTGCCATTGAAGCATGGAGATGTTATGATCTCTGAGCCTATTTATTGCTGTGTGTGGCTGACCCATCACGGAAACCGAAGTTAAGACCGGATTCTGACTGCTTAGGCCAAGCGCAGTCGTGGCCTGAAGTCTTTTTTTTTTTTTTTTTGGGATCCTTGCCTCTTTTTTGACCCATCTGGTTTTGCCGGGTGTCCCCCCGTCTGCCCAACTGGCCCAGGTGTGCCTGGCCGGCCGTCGGCCCAACATAGGTAATTACCTAGAGTGGTGAGGGAAGGCTGACACAACTTTACAGTCTCTGAGGCTTTGCAGAGTATACCGCATCTGACAGAGTCTCGAGTCCTTTTTTTTTTTTTTTTTTTTTTGTTCCCGTGGAACACGGATCAGATATTAAACTGATCAGAACAGATCCTACACTCGATCTTAGCTGAAAGGCTGAGAAAGGTATTGATAGACTCTGACTCCTTTTCGGGTCACGTTTCCTTTTTTCAGATATATATAATGCAGGTCATGGTTCCTCATCAGCAGCACCGTCTGTGCTTTTTTGGAGAGGGTTCAGAATCCCTGAGAGCTTGCAGAGCATAACGTGTCTGACAGACTCTGACTCATTTTTTGACGACTTTTTCTTTGGGGGGTTCGGGGGGGGGGAGGGAGGGGGGGGGAGGTTGTGGATGACTGCTTGAATGTTTGCAGGTCATGGTTCCAGATCGTCGGCAGATTGTGACAAAGGATGCGGAAACAAAGGTTGCATCGCCTGATGTTCTTCAACAGTTGATTGACCTTGAGATAGGTATGCTGCTATGGAATGAAAGAAGTAGCAAACAATTTCTGGCAGTCCAACTTCTTCCTTCCTGTTCGATTCCAGAGGCTTTGCACAGTGTGCCACTTTTTTTTTTTCCTTCTTTTTTTTTATTTTTATTTTTATTTTAATTTGGACCATTTGTCGATTTATGCGTGTCATCCTTGTGCAGGGGCCATGTTATTCTTGTCTGTATCGTTCCAATTTTAACGGATGTCCCGAAGGACAGAGTATACCACATTTTATATTGTTGTAGAGTGAATTTCTTAATCACCATCGTTTCAAAAGCGTGAAACAGTTTTTCAACAAGCTTTGCCTACCTGTCCACAGTGCGCACTTGATGAACAAGAAAAAGGCGAAACCTTGAAGCGAAAAAAAGAAGACGAAAGAAACCCTCAATCCGAGTCCCCTTTTCATGCTAACTTTGCCTTCTGCAGAATCCGCATGGCATTTGCAGGATTTAGTTCCCGATGGACAAAAGTTCTGGTGTCCAACTGCACGTCCACTTTTCAGCGCACAACCACACAGCTACTGTACACACAATGAAGGAACCCTTCGAAAGGATGCCAGGGGCGGTGGCGATGGTGATGGTGGTGATGGTGATGGTGATGGTGATCGTGTCGATGGTGGTAATGGTGATGGTGGCGATGGCGGTGGCGATGGTGATGGTGATGGTGATGGTG